AGTTGGGAAGGACAATTCCTAAATACGATGGGAGAAGGCCAGACAAATAATTTTCACCAAGGCCTAAGCTTGTCAATGTTGAAATGTTGAATATGTTGAAAGGAATGGGTCCAGTCAAATTGTTTCCTTCCAATGATAACAATTCAAGTTTAACAAGATGGCCAATTTCCTTGGGTATAAAACCTGGAAACCCAAAAAAAAAAAAAAAAGTTAGTAACATTTCCTAGTCAGTGTTGCTTGTATATATATATATATATATATTGGCCAAAAAAATATACATATGTATTATAAAATAAAAAACTACATATATGTTAGTAATCCAAAAACTTGTAAAACAAATATATTTTGTTATGCTAATTATATTAATCTTGCATAATTAGTATGTTTTTGAAATAAAAAAAATTAGGGAAATCATAAACTATCTTTGAGATGCCACGGTTATATATAGAAGATTTATTTTAAAATTGAAGTATTATGTTGTAATTGTTGAATAATTATTTAATAGGAAATCAACAAATTTGTGAAATAAAAAAACTATTGAAAAATCTGAAAATGAAAATTAAGCAGGGAAAGGATGTGCTCTTTAATAGAGGGGAAAATACAGATTCCAAGTTATGAAAGATAAAATCTGCAAATATAAGTATATATACATAGACATACACTTGGAAATGGGGAAAAAAAGGTAGGTAATAAAATTTCCTTTTTTTTAATAATAAGTCAACATATGAACATTAAGTAAAACAATTACAAGATTAAAAGGCCCTCAGAACATATTCTAGAGCCTAAGCACAAAAATCTGGCTGCGAAAGACAATTAAAAGTACAAAAAAAAAAAAACCAAGTCCAAGGAAGAGAAAAAAGACAGACAAAAGGAAAAAAGAAACACATCAAAACACTAGGACATAGCATACATCGAAATTTTCTTGAGCTAATGGGCATGGTATAACTTTAAGGCTCGTTAAAAAGAAATAGGTATCATTCCCAAAGAAAGGCCCAGTAAACTGGTAGAAAGGAGCGACAAGTCAATGGTAATCTTGACTTCCAAAGAATCTGGAAATCAGTTGGTTGAGAAATATCCCATAGAATTGGTAAAACCAAAGCCAAGGCTTTGGATATAGAAAAACTATGCCTGTAAGCTTATAAATAAGACGAAATAAGCTATGGAGTACAAGTATAAAAAAGACACATGTGATGAAAGATCCAAAACAAACTGAATGAAACCAGACAAGATGAGGCACAAAAAGTTGCAGCGCCATCTTTTGGACATTTTACAGTGCTTCTACCCACAAAAGGTCCATGGTTGAATCATCCTTTTCAATGTTGCTTGCATAATATGTGCGTGTGTGTGTGTTTTATTTAAAAAAAAAAAGTATATGTGTGTGTGTACATTTGGCAAAAAATATATACATACATGCATGCATACATACATGTATATATCTATTATAACATAAAAACAACACATATCTTAGTAATCCAAAAACTTAAATATTTGTGTTATGCAATTAATCTTGCATAAATATTAGTTTTAAAAATAAAAAATTAGATAAAAGATAAACTATCTTTGAGATGCTATCGTCATAAATAGAAGATGTATTTAAAAATTAAAGTTTTTATGTTGTAATCATCGAATAATTATTCAATAGTAAATTAATTAATTTTTAAAATAAAACATAAACTATTGAAAACCTTGAAAAAATTAAAATTAAACAGGAGAGTATGTACTCTCAAATAAAAGTTTGTTGTGCATTGCCAATCAAACTACTTTTTGGGTGAATTTTTTTTTTGGTACAGTTGAAGTGAGAAATGAAAAGAAAAAGGTTCCACATCATATATGGCAAGTCCACATGTTTGGTTTGAGAATAATAAAACTTTTAGTCGTTCAAATTTATATCAGTTAGGATTTAGTCCCTTAAATTTAATTTTGTCAATTTAGTCTCTTATACTCCCTTTGATCCTATTTCTAGAATAGAGAGAGAAGATTTTTTTGGGTCATATTTATAAATCACATTATTAAATTTTAATCACAAATTTTTCCTTTATTCCTATTGAATGTTGAAAAGAGAAATCACGTTGTTAAAATATGTATATTCAAATAGGAACAAAGTTGATAATTTATTAAATTTTTAAACAAAGTTAATAAAGTTTAAGATTTTCTTAACTCTAGTAAAACATGTTGGAAGTGATTTGCAAAATAGAACTAGAGGAGGATATATTTTCTTTCTTCATTTTGGACAAACTTATACATACATATATATATATATATATATTCTTAAATTATTATGTTAGTCATTTAAGTTTTAAAATACAATAAACTCTTAAATTAATTTAATATGTAGTATATGTTGATGGCTTGGCATATATAGTGTCACACCCCAAAAAAATAGAGGATGACTGGCACAGGTGTGAACCACTCACATTTTCGTAAGCCTCAGAATGAAAATTTACTCCATTTTTCAAAAGAAAAGAAAGAAAATTTATCAAATTACATGAGAATTAAATAATTCCTTTAAACTCATTATCATAAGAAAGTGTCGATGTTTTTGTAGAAATTTCGACAGAACCTCCCCTGTAACTAGGATTTCTCAAAAATTCTACAACAAAATTTTTACAGACAACAGTAGAAATTAGGATCATAGCTCCTTCCAGCCAGCAACCAATATACAGACCAAAAATAAGATTTATCAACAACTTATGTGGAGTATCTACTCTTTCTTTCAAATCAAAAAGACATACAAATTATATATTTACATTAAAGCAACAACACCAATCAAAATGTCCACCCACTGTAGCTAGTTGCCCTTTAGAGTTTGATGGTGGGATCAACGTCAGCTAACAAATCTGAGACCAAAATAATTTTTTCAGTGAATAACATTCCCAAGTAAAATTCTTAGAATTTTAATCAACAATATCTAATAATGGTGTCAGCTAGTTAAAAGTAATTCCACCAAAAATTTATAAACATGTAAGTCATAACCATATTTATAAAATAAGAGTAAATTAAAAATAATTTATGTTATCATGCTTAAAGAAAACAATCTGCTCACATATAACTCAAAGTGGTACAAATTGCTAGCCAAAATCATGTAAATTTTGAAACACATATTAATCAACATCTAAAATCTTGAGAACTCAGTAGAACAGGTTACAAACGTGGACACTCAGTCCATAAGGGTAAATAACCAAACGCGGCTTATGCCACGAAAACAAATGTGGACACACCAGTCCACGAGTGTGTAAGTAACCAAACGCAGCCGAAACTACAAAACAAACGTAGACACACAGTCCACAAGGGTAAATAACCAAATGTGGCTTAGGTCACAAAATCAAACGCGGGTACAAAGCCCAAGAATACCAAACATGAGAATAAAGCTCATGAAACAAACTAGCTAGTGTTTAATCATAGCACGCTACGGGCTAATAGAACTGCCGTTAGTAGCAGTGTTCTGTTTTGAGTTCTCTTTAAATCACACTTCAAACATGTGAGAAAAATAATTATCAATGAAATAAATTATCATTTTTACTGCCAAACTCGCATGAATTGTTTCAAATCTCAACATTTGTCAAAATCATAAATTTGCATTAATTGAGTATCTAATAAATTTCAAAGTTTAACAATCATACAAGAATGCTTTCATTAAACTTGGAAATATATTTTCAAGAATCACTAAATGCACATATCATAACTCATTTGTCTTTCATTGATATTTCATAATTTTCGAAATTAATATAATTCATAAGAATAAAATATTTAAGGAAGAGGCTATTAAAAAAAAAACTATATTAAATGGGATGCTATTCACTTACTTGTCGGAGTTCCAAATTTTCAAAGATATTCTTCTCTTAATCCTTGTCAGGTTCCTTTTCTCCCACACACCTTATAAAAATATATATAAATCAAATAAAATTTTCATAGATTTCGATCTTTATTTCAATTTAACCATCATCATTAAGAATTCGAAGCCAAATTTATGATTTAAATTGGTCCAAATATTATCACTCATTCTTATGACTTTCATTTAATTTAAAACACTACCTTCTATGCAGGCACATGTATTCACAAGGAAGAATGAATTTCTGAAATTTCAACCCTCAACCCACATTTACCATATATTATCACTAAGTTCAGATGGATTGCTAACTTAAATTTCAATCTTCTCCTCTCTACATAACAGTATAAGCAACAGCAGAAAATATGATTGCCGTGACTACACATATCAAGTAATAACAGCAGCGCACACCCACTAACTTTCTGCATTTTCACGTCCACACACAGCACTAATATTTTGATCTCTTAACCTCACATGTATAGCAGATTAACAATGAGATAGTTCAACACTTCTCACCTCAATCTGACTGGCTAAATGGCGGCGAACAGATAGAGAGGAGAAAAGGAGGCTCTTGAACACAAGATGAAGAACTGAATACGGCTAGCAACCGAGAAGAGAAACGGAATCAGCAACAACTGGCCAAACTCACGACAGTACCTCCAGCAGTAACTTGAACACGATATCATGGTCAAAGCAGAAGACGGGGGAAAATAAAACAGAGACAGGGAACACGAAAGACAGCCAGAGCAATTCAAGGCAGCATAAGTCTCTAACTCCCTCCGACAATAATCACTAGTGATAGTAAAAGGGAAAGAAGATCTAAACGCTCACACTTGCACCTGGACAAAGAAGGGAGAAGAAGCTCGATAATCTGAATAAAAAATAACAGAGTGCAAAGGTCACGGGTTGACTGACCAACGACAGATGGAGTAGGAGCAAGCATACAGGCGACAGTGGCGGCTAAAACTGAAAAGAAAACAGAAAGGATTCAGAGGAGGAAGAAGGAGAAGGCTCAGCACACTCTTTAATAGCACCAAGAACAGAGGAGGGAGCAAGTTGCAATTCAAGGCTCACATGCACACCAACAACGTCACGACAGGGAAGAAGGAAGCCACATACTCACACCCAATCAACTGGCGACAGTGGACAGAACCTCTGTAATCACTAAGATCCAATGATTGCTGGAGACGAAGGAAATGAAATTTCTGGACCTAAGATCCCTTTTGCTCTCTGCACCGACTCTCTCTCTCTCTTTGCTCCAGAATCCTCGCCGAAGAACGAAGGGAGAGTTTAAAAAGATCTGATTGCAATAAGGGTAGTTTGGTGATTTTACAAGGCAAATCAGCAACGGAAAAAAAAAAATTCCCATGGGCTCACAACGGTTCGAACTTGGACCAAATAAAAGTAATCCAACCCAACTACCACAGCATCAACTTCCTGTATTGATATATTATCTAAAGATTTAATATAAACACACATAAACAAATTATCATATATATATATATATATATATATTAATTTATTTTATAAGGGTTATCACATATAGATAATTAAATGAAAAAATAGTCCTTGAATAAGTTTAATTTTTATCAATTTAGTCATTTATGATGCATTTTTATTTTTTAAAACATTTTTTATTTTTTCTTACATAAATAATTATACTTCTTTTCATTAATCTATATGGTTGTCATCAATACTCTATTATCTATGTCAATAAAAATTTAACAGTTTTATCTCCTCTTTAAATAATGTCTGAGGCAAACTTAAAGAACCAAATTGATGAAAATTAAATTTAAAGAACCAAATTGATAACTAAAACAAATTTCAGTGACTAAAAATTTCATTATGTCAATATATGTATTTTGCAATTTCTTTTAATTTCAAGTTAGATAATTGTTGAAAATTATAATAAGAAAAACTTTAATTTGAATAGTTTTATTAATTTTGTATAATTGAAAACGTGTGGAACAGTTCCTCTTTAAACTAAATGAATTAAAACGAAGCAATCTCTTTTGACAGGCACTATGCCTCTTTTGTCTAAGCAATGAGCAATCTTTCTTAGTGCTACTCTTTCAACCCCCCCCCCCCCAAAAAGAAGAAGAAGATGATGATGATGATGATGATGAAGCAACTAATTGTTTTTCTGACTATTGAAATTGAAAATATATCGTATTCTAGCTCATTAGTTTTAGGCTTTTAGCTCAAATATGGTTGAACTAGTGTTTTTGGGTGGCATTTAAATTTTTTATTTACTTTTATTATTATTATTTGTAATTGATTTCTCATACGTCTTTAAATATTTTGTTTATATATAATGAATAAGAAAAATACAATTCCAAACTTGTCTGTATTTTAATGTTATTTTCATACAAAATTTACTTTATCATACAAAAATTATCATTATCAAATATTACTAAATCTAGTAGTATGTTTAACAATACGTCTAAAACTTACGTTGATTATAACAAAATAGTTTTAAGTAATACTCATTTCAACTACAGAAGATTTAATGAATTTGCAAGATTAAAAAATTGAAAAAAATTAAAAAGAAATAAGTTAAAACAGCTAAAGAATGTCTTCGTAAATAAGGGGAGAAAAAAAAATTAAAGTTATTAGGAGACGCATAAAATTTTAGAACAAAAGTAATGGAATTTTAGATTTATTCCATTTCAATATGAATGAGCAACAAGAAATTATGAATCAAATGATGAAAAACAAAATCCTATTTTGGATTTACTCCATTCTAAAAAGAGATTAAAAAAATGGAAACATAAAATAAGTATATTATACATACCTGTAAATGAGTTTCTATCCAAATACAATTCCTTTAAAGATGTGCAACTACTTATTGATTTTGAAATGCCTCCCTCTAATTGATTACCAGCAACACCAAAGACTTCAAGTAAAAGGAGTTGATGGCACAATTCTTCTGGCAAATTATCATTTAAATGATTTATGTCAAGGCTAACCACTCTCAAAGAATACAATATTCCACCTAAATGAATGAATTCCACCTAAACAAAGTGCAAAATGTTCGTTTGTTGTTAGTGCGCATAAGACTGGCAATTCCCAAAATTCTCACATAGTGATATACATAACACATGGAAATTTGTTAGGGAGAATCAGTCTAAAGTCCCATGGAAGCACTTTAAATATGCTGAGGTCTCATGAATTTAAGAAATAGCTGCCAGGTCCCCAAGGACCTAAGGGTGAATAAGTCTGAAAGTGAAATTACCCATTTGCCCTCTAGCATTGAAAATAAAATTTTGCTTGCGCGCGCACGTCTGAGGAAACCTATGATCAGCAATAGTGAAGGTTGCTGCATATCCATAGTTGTTGATCACGGTAGGATCATCTTCACTTCCTCACGTCTATGATTACAGCTGTTGTCTTCATCTAAGTGAGTTGGGAGTGTTTCTTCTACAACAGCAGCATTTCATCGACAGAAAATAAATTTTCTAGGTAAATGATAGTTGGCCGTAAACGATTACGTAAATTACCGATCAACAGTAGCATATCCATTGTTAGCTAGGTAAATGATTTCTTGTGCGTCAATGATTTCACTATTGTCTAAGGGTAGGATAATGCTTTTTGGGTAACCTGCGATCATTCAGTTTGCATAACTGATATATAGAATAATCTGGCGCAACACTGTTCCGTTGACAAATATCTGATATGAATATCTCTCTACATGTTGTCAATAGTGTTTTGTTGTGTTGTCAATATGAGATGAATAGTTGTCAATACACTGTATTGTGCAGGCTAACCAGTAAGAATGCAAGCTCTACTGGAAAACATGTATTATGTTATTTTTTTCATATAGGACAATTTATATATTATTCCCAAGCATTTGAGGTAAGCTTGTTTTGTTGAAAAATCTCTGCTATTAATGAACACTACGTCTTGTCAATAGTGGATAAATATGTTGTTAATATACATTGTCTAGTTGTCAATATACTATGTGTGGTGCAGGTTGACTTGTAAGATGGCAAGTTCTTCAGGAAAACATATATTATGTTTTTTCCATATAGGGGGCATTTTCAAAATGATGACCAAGGAAGTATGCAATATGTTGGGGGGAGTGTTAGAACTAGAACAATAAAGGAAGGGACAACATATGAAGAGTTGATAAGAATGATATCATCAATTGTAGGGAATAAAAGTAATATAATCAAGTTAAAATTCACAGTCAATGTTGATGCAAGCACACTTGTAGATCTAGTTGATGATGATGGAGTAGAACATCTGATCAAATATAACAAATAAAGTGGACATGTGTATGTAGTTGAAATGGGAATGACACCATAGAATCATCAATGGATTGCCCATTAGAGAACTAACATGTGTAAGTTGTGTAAATTTATTTGTTAATGCAAATATGTTGGAAAGAATAATTGTAATGTTGTCATTGAATGCAGGATTGATAATTTATTGAGAGTTTCAGATGGATGCTCTTTCTCTCCACCAAATATCTATCCTGAGATTGAAGACTCGGAATTGGCATGCGCTGTACAAATGGTACCTACACCAATACCTGAAATGAGTTCTATGAAATGGAAGGATTTGTTAGTAGGTAAAGGGCAGTTTTTTTCCTAATGTTGATGCCTTTAGACAAGCATTGTACAAGTATAGCATCTCCCACAAGTTTTCATACAAGTTTAAGAAGATTAACAAAGAGAAGATCATTGCATATTGCAAGGTGGAGGGCTGTGAATGGAACATTGTAGCATATTCAATAGGAAAAGATAATGAGATTTTAAGGGTTACAAAATTCAACAATGATCACACCCATAATGCGCAAGACAACCTTATTGTGTCACACTCGGCAAGGTCAAAATTAACATCATCAATCATGGTTGATGCTCTAAGGTCTAATATAGATAAAGGTGCCAATGAACTTGCAAGAGACTTGTATAGAGAGTATGGTGTGCGATTAAGCTACAGTCAAGCTTATAGGGGAAGAAAAAAAGCACTGCGGGAAATACATGGTCGTGCAGAAGATTCTTATAGCATAATCCCTTGGATTTATGATCAATTAATGGAAACTGATCCGATGACAGTTGCAAAATGGAATGCCTCAAATGATAGATTTGAGAGGCTATTCATTGCTTATGGATGCTCTATATCTGGTTTTTTAGGAGGTTGTCGAGCCATACTTTATGTAGACGGATGTCACCTAAGCGGTCCATACAAGGGAACAATGCTGTCAGCATGTACATATGACGCTGATAATGACTTATTTCTAGTAGCATATGCCATTGTTAGTAAGAAGATTGGTCTTGGTTTCTTCAAAATGTCAAAGACATAACAAGATCAGTGGAGTTAACAATTATTTCTGATCGGAATAATGCGATTATTGGTGCCGTGCAAGCTATATTTGGTAGTGGTGAGAGACATGCATTTTGCTACCGTCATGTGAAGGAAAATTTTAGCACAGCATTTACGAAAATCAATAGAGGTAAGATGCGTACCTCGAGCAACATGAAAGATGATGCGTTGAAATTACTTGATACAATTGCCTATGCAAGGCATGAGGTTGAATTTAATGTTGCAATGGAGAATCTAAGATTGTTTTGTCCACAATTGGCACAATGGGTTGAAACCCAAGGGGATGTAGATCGATGGGCTCAATGCAAGTTTGGATATAAACGATGGGATAATATCACAACTAATCTTGCAGAATCCTTTAATGCTTGGATTGTGAAAGAGAGAAAACACAATGTTAATGTCTTGATTCATGAGCATAGAGAGAAATTGGCAAAGAAGATGGTCGCTAGCAAAGCGGCTATGGGAAATTGGAAACATGGTGTCGGGCCTAACATTGAGGCAAAAGTTATGGAGCAAGTTGTGAGAGCTAAAAATTTACATGCACAAATTTATAGAGAAAATTTGATCTCTGTGCAAACTATATCAGTTAATGGACTAATACACTTGAATGTTGATCTTGCAGCACGTACATGCTCTTTTTTAGCATGGCAAATGAGTGGAATACCTTGTGCACATGCTTGTGCAGCAATCAAGCTACTTTATGGCAATGTGTACAATTTTTGGATGAATGTTACAAGTTTACTGCTCAAGAATAGATATATACCACCAGTGTGAAGCCGATAGCCACACATGACTGTCCACATCTAGAAGCATTGACGGTGACAAATTTATTAACTGAAACCTTTTTGGAGCCACCAATAACTAGAAGGCCTCCTGGTAGGCCAAATAGTAAAAGAAGGGAATCTCAATTCCAAAACAAAAAGGTGTACCATTGTGAAATATGCCATGAGATTGGTCATACCTCCAAGACTTGCAAGAATCTTAATCCATGCTAGAAAATATTACAGACAAGTGTATTTTTTTGTTTATATATATGGAAGTTGTTTTTGTTTACTTTTTGGTTTATTGTACATAATGTATTAGCACTTTTCAATAGCAAATGCATAAATTGTAAATGACTTGATACCTTATAGTCAAGGACTAATGGCAAGTAGTCAATAAGTTCTTGCACCTGGTTGATTTTTGCAGGGATTAACAGCACCAAGTTCGTCAACACTTGTCAATGGAGAATTAACACATTGTCAATATAGTTATATCTACTTGTCAATAGGCAACGGAAGTAGTCAACAGGTTCTTGCACCTTGTTGAATTTTAAAGGGAATAACAGCACTTATTGCTTCAGCACTTGTCAATGTCGAATTACTACCTTGTCAATATAGTTAATAGTACTTGTTAATATCCAAAACTAAGTAGTCAACAGGTTCTTGCACCTTGTTGAATTTTAAAGGGAATAACAACACTTACTGCCTCAGCACTTGTCAATGGCGAATTACTACCTTGTCAATATAGTTAATAGTACTTGTCAATCTCCAAAGCTAAGTAGTCAACTGGTTCATTTAACTAGCTGATTTTCCAAGGAAATGATAGCACTTACTACCTCAGCACTTGTCAATGACGAATTACTACCTTGTTAACATAGTTAATAGTACTTGTCAATCTCTAAAGCTAAGTAGTCAACTGGTTCATTTAACTAGCTGATTTTCCAAGGAAACGACAGCACTTACTACCTCAGCACCTGTCAATGGCGAATTACTACTTGTCAACATAGTTAATAGTACTTATCAATCTCCAAAGCTAAGTAGTCAACTGGTTCATTTAACTAGCTGATTTTCTAAGGAAACGACAGCACTTACTACCTCAGCACTTGTCAATGGCGAATTACTACCTTATCAATATAGTTATTACTACTTGTCAATGGCGAATTATTAACTTGTTAATGTACTTATAGACACTTGTCAATAAAGTGATAACAACTTGTTGACATGCAATTAATAAAACAGACTGTCTGCCACATTTACAAACTTGTAATCAGCTTTTATAACCAGTGTTATCTAAGTTAACTACACAAAATGAGCTAACTATACAAAGGGATATGATGATCAATAAAATTATATCCTAAGGTTCTATAAAAAATCTTCTATTTCCTTTTCCTCATCGCTTGGGATCCTTCTAACAAGGGCATAGCTTCGGGCTCCTTCACATTGTTATGATGACTCAGTAGCCACCACAAGAGTTCTACCTTCTTCTTATAGAGGTCATCCTACACCACAATTAAGTCTTGTAAGGGACAACAACAAATATGTAGTACATGAAAGAGGGAAAATGTAAAGCAAAGAATGTATACATCAGAGTATTTTGGCATCGTATACCCATTCTTATCCATAATGTTGTCCCACGATTGTAACCATGTCATAACGTGCACCCCACAAGTATTGCTAAAAGCAAAATAAAAAACATAATGTAAAATTAATTTTTCACATGTAAATATAAGCTTAATGATATATAAACATAAAAGGAACTCACGTATCAGTTTGCACATGAACTTTAGCCCATATAATGTCCATGCTAACATCATCCTCAAACAATTGTGGCTTGACTGCACGAAGTAGAGAGTGAAAGCAATTCCTCTGCAAACTCAAGACTTGCAATGTTAGTAATGTTAATTTACAACTAATCAAGAAGACAACAAAAAATATAGATGTTGGTAATGTTGAGTGACAAGTATAGACATACGCATCCTCTTGCCATCATTTCTTTGGGATCTATTTGTCCCTTCTTCTTCTTCTTCTTCTCCTTTCCTTTGCCCTTCTTCTCAACATTCTCTTCTTCTTCCTCTTCCTGCTGTCTTTGGAAATACTCCCTGTTACTGACCAATGAATCTAACACATAGAAGTTCTTACTTTTGGTCTCAAAGACATAGCAAAACCAGTGACTATGGAAAAGAGTTGGGCCAAAAATGAAATCACAATCAGCAATGTTATATCCAACAAACTCAGGAAATATTTCTCCCTTGTTGTCATCTACCATCCATTTCAATGGGTTGCTGATCATTTTTAGCATGAATTCAGAACCAAAGATATGTCTCCGAACTTTCCCTTCATTTTCCTTTTAGTCACCTACCAAAGTTCGGGCAACCATTGACATCACCCTATCACTAATCCATCTCTTTCCATTAAAACATTGTAGCTCTGCACGAGTCAAGTAGTAATTATACAAATCTATAATGATCCTATTGAAGAAGAAGGAAAAATTAAATAGATTGTCACTAATACTTTAGTCAGTCAATTTTTAGGCACAATATAGGGACTTACTTGTCTCCCTCATCTTCCTCACATGGTGTTGTGCATATTTGAAATAATTGCTCCTTCTCATCCATTTTTCTCTTCTTTCCAACATTAGTTCTAACCCATGGAGATTTCACAACAGATCTTTTATATCTTTTTGATCTTCTAGGATGTTTACTTAATTGTACTTCTCCTCTCCCTTCCTCGTCCTCGGTAGAATCTTTCCCTCCTACACCTGCCTCCTTAGCCTCTTCCTCCTTTGAATCGTCATTGTTGCCCTTTTCTTTAGGAGAACCTTACTGTTCATCATCTTTTTCTTTATCTTCTTCACCTTCTAATTTTTCTTCTTCATTCTCTTCCTCTTTTAATTGTTCAGCTCCTTCTTCGTTGTATTCTTCCTCTTCTAATTTTTCTTCTTCATTCTCTTCCTCTTTTGATTGTTCATCCCCTTCTTCATTATATTCTTCCTCTTCTAATTTTTCTTCTTCATTTTTTTCCTCTGAAGCTGTCCCCTCATCAACAAGTCCTTCCTCTTCTATTTTTTCATCTTCATTCTTTCTCTCAGAATCTATCCCTTTATCATCATCTTCTTCCTCTTGTGATATTTCACCTTCTTCCTCTCTTGAACCTTGTCCAAGCAGCATTGATTGTAAGCTCATTAACTCTTCTCTAATGTCAGACACAAATGATAGCATTTTTCCATACAGCCTCCTTACTTCCTGCAAGACAATTACTAACTCAGTACATAAATAAGACCATATATATCTGTCCATTGTACTCTATTTTATACATACCGGGTGAACAAATGTCGATTCTTGATACACCTTAGTAGATGAACTACCATGTACAGTAGTTGGCTCATGCAAGATGCCTCAATTACTTTTTTTCTCCAACTTTATTCTTATATTCACTTTATCATTGTCCCAATATTTTAGAGCATTTACAGCTTTTGGACAACCTTGGCCAACTGGAAAATTCTAGAAGCCCCATACCTAAAAACTTGACAAATCAGTATAAACATAAAACTTTTACATGGAAAACTTTGAGAGACTATCACTTTAGATTAATGTAAATTGAACACACACTTACCATTAGAAAGTAGATACATCCCCCAACGTTCTTCCTCGTCCTTCCCTTCACCCCAATCATATGCGCTTGGTTTCTTTTGTGTCTCATAAACGACCTTCAATATACGGTCACTAAGCTCAAGACTTGCGGTTGGCAATAGCAAGGTTCCCAATGCATACATTACAAAAGGTAACTCAAATTTAGCTACCTCCTTTCCAGATATAATCATTTCAGCTATTTCCTTGTAAGGCATTTTATAGTAAGTATTTCTCAAATTCTTAAAAGCTCTATCATTCACATTGACATCCCCAGTAATCTGCTTACCCTCACTACATAAGCCTATTAAGTCATTCACATCCTTGGCCTTCATTTGCTTGATTTTCCCCCTTATGCGTATTTCACGAGTTGGGGGGTTAAAGGCACGCATCAACTCTCTACAAATATCTCTTTGAATTTTTTTACAAGACACATCAAGAAGCCTATGGAATCCTAGCTTCTCAACCCTTTTTTGTAATTTCTCATCTTTCTTAACATATTTTGCCACTTCACCAAATTGGCTAGGAGAGCAGTGCGTATGAAATGGTACGGTATATCTCTTCACTGTTGTCTTTGCTTCCTTTATTTGGAAAACAAATAGGAAAGTTCAATTACATGTGTTGAAAAGAGATATATGCATACTAGTCATTACTAAGTTCCAACTCACAGATTTCTACACTAGCATTGTTTATTAGTAAGAAAAAAACACAAGTCACAAAGGCATGACGGTTCACTAGTTATGACAGTTCTCTAGTCAATGGAGCATATTGTTGTTGTCAATAGAGTTTATGGTTGTAGTCATTGAAGTAATTAGTTGTCATTCATGGAATAAATGATTTTGGTTAATACAGCATATGGTTGTTGTCATCAATGGAGAAATTCATCCATATTTAAAATTACATATTTTTAAGTAGAATTGGAAGTTAAACTAACCACAATAAAAATATAAAACGCAAGAGGAGTAGTTGAAAGTTGAAACATGCAAATACGCGCCTTAAGTAATTATAAAAATCTCATGAATAGCTATACTTTTGCAACATATCAGAAATATACTTGGTAAGCTTGACTTGATAAACATTAGAGAACTGTGTGACCAGGTTTTATCTCTTTCAGAGTACAGAGCACAACTATATGATTATCTTAAGAGCAGGATGAACACTATTGCACCCAATTTGACCGCTCTTGTTGGGAAGCTTGTTGGTGCTCGCCTTATTGCCTATGGTGGTAGCTTCCTCAATCTTGCAAAGCTACCAGGGAGTACTGTACAGATACTTGGTGCTGAAAAGGCTCTCTTTAGGGCCCTAAAGACTAAGCATGCTACCCCAAAATATGAGCTTATTTATTATGCATCATTAATTGGTCAGCTTGCTCAAAACTTTAAGGGTA